TGCTCTTCAGCACTTGAAAGAGATCTTTTGCAACAAGTTTGCCCAATGCAATATGTTTTCTGATGTCTCAACTGCTGCTAACATTGGTATTGATTGTAGAACCAAGTAATATGAAGTGTTTGACAACTTCAATCTTTTCTTCGTCTATCGTGATGCTGCTGGATATTGGTCCAGTTGTGAAGATTTTTGTTTTCTTTATACTGAGGTGCAATCGATACTGCAGACTGTAGTCTTCAGTCTTTATCAGTAAGCGCTCAAAGTCATCCTCACTTTCAGCAGGCAAAGCTGTGTTGTCTGTGTATCTCAGGTTGTTAATGAGACATCCTCCAATCCTGATGCCACATTCTTGTTCATATAGTCCAGATTCTTGGATTATTTGCTCAGCATACAGATTGAATACATATGGTGAAAGGATACAACCTTGATGCACTCCCTTCCTGATTTTAAACCATGCAGTACCCCCTTGTTCTGTTCAAACAACAGTCTCCTAGTTAATATGTGGGTTCCTCATGAGTACAATTAAGTGTTTTGGAATTCCCATTCTTCTCAATGTTAGCCACAATTTGTTATGATCCACATAATCAAATGCCTTTGAATAGTTAATAAACTTAAGTAAACACCTTTCTTGTGTTCTTTGCTTTGAGCCAACATCCATCTGACATCAGTGATGATATCACTCCTTTCACGTTCTCTTCTGAATCCAGCTTGCATTTCTGGAAGTTTTCTGTCAATATACTGCTGCAACTATTTTTTAATTATCTTCAGTAAGATTTAACTTGAGTGTGATATCAATTATATTGTTCAATAATTTCCTCATTATGTGGAATCACCTTTCTTTAGAATGGGTACAAATATGGATATTTTCCAGTCAGCTGGTCAGGTAGCTATCTTCCAAATCTCTTGGCATAGCTGAGTGAGTGCCTCCAGTGAAGCATCTGTTTGTTGAAACATCTCAAGGGGTATTCCATCAATTCCCAGAGCCTTGTTTTTTTGCCAACTCCTTCAGTGCATCTTCGACTTCTTCCTTCAATACCATTGGTTCTTGATCATATGCCACCTCCTGATGGATGATCATCTACCAGTTCTTTTTGGTATAGTGACTGTGTTTTCTGTCCATCTTCTTTTGATGTTTCCTGCATCATTCAACATATTGCCCATGAAATCTTTCAATGTTGCAATTTGAGGCATACTTTTTTTTTCCTCAGTTCTAGCCTAAGAAATGCTGAGTGTGTTCTTCCCTTTTGGTTTTCTAACTGCAGGTCTTTGCACATTTCATTATAATAATTGACTTTGTCTTCTCGAGCTGCTCTTTGCAATCTTCTGTTCAGCACTTTTATCTTGACAATGCTTCCATCTGCTTTGTTGTAGTTGTTGTTAGGTGCCATCAAGTCATCTTTGACTCATAGCAACACTATGCACAGCAGAACCAAACACTGACCAGTCCCACACCAGCTCCATGATCCCGCTATACTTGAGCCCATCAGCATAGCCACTGTGTTACTCCATCTCATTGAGGGCCTTCCCCTCTTTCATCAACCTTCCACCTTACCAGGCATGACATCTTTCTTCAGGGAATGGTCCCTTCTGATAACATACCAAAGTAGGCAGGAAAAGCAGAGGGAAAAGAAAAGGAAAGCCATGGCATCCAGGACAGAGCAAGCAAGCAGCAGAGGGGATCCAGGTAAGGAGAGAGACCCAGGCCCCAACCCCCAAGCAGCAGGAAAAATGGAGGAGAAAGGAAAGGAAAGCCAGGGCATCCAGGACAGAGCAAACAAGTGGCAGGGATCCAGGTAAGGAGAGAGACCCAGGCCCCAACCCCCAAGCAGCAGGAAAAATGGAGGAGAAAGGAAAGGAAAGCCAGGGCATCCAGGACAGAGCAAACAAGTGGCAGGGATCCAGGTAAGGAGAGGGTGGAGAATTTTTGAACAGTTAAGGGACATAAACTTGTCTGTTGGTTTGTCATGCTCTGGTGGTATGTTGCTGTGATGCTTGAGGCTGTGCCACCAGTGTTTCAAATGCCAGCAGAGTTGCACATGGTGCACAGGTTTTGATGTGGCCTGCAGAATGAGACAGACTAGGAAGAAAGAGGAAGCCATCTACTTCTCAAAAAATTGGCCAGAGAAAACCTTATGCACAGCAGAGAAACACTGTCCATTGCTTTAATGACTCTCTGTTCAAGGGCAAGTTTCAGAGTCTCTTTGAACATCTATTTGGAACTGTTCTTCCCTTATTGTCTTTTTAATGACCTTTTGCTTTCTTCATGGGTGATGTTCTTGATGTCATTCCACAGTTCCTCTGATTTACAGTCATTGGTATTCAATGCACCAAATCTATTCTTTAGATGGTCTCTAAATTCAGGAGGGATCTAATCAAAGTCATATTTTGCCTCTTGTGGACTTGTTTTAATTGTCTTCAGCTTCAACTTGAACTTGCATATGAGCAAGTGACGATCTGTTCCACAGTCAGTTCCTGGCCTTGTTTTGGCTGAAGATATTGAGCTTCTCCATCACCTCTCACCACAGACGTAGTCAATCTGATTCCTGTGTACTCTGTCTTGTGAAGTCCACGTGTATAGCCACCCCTTGTGTTGTTGAAAAAAGGTATTTGCAATGAATAAGTCGTTGGTTTTGCAATTTTCCCTAGCAATGGATTATTGAGGTTCAATTACCTCCCTTTGTTCAAGCTCCCACTAAGTTCCTGATCCTTCTTTGTTCAGGATAGATTCATTCATTTAAATGGATCGTTAAACATATTTTCTCCAGACTATCTAGTTTTTTTTTTTATTATTATTGTAGCTTTTCAGTATCTCTATTCCACTATATACCTCTTAATAAACATTTAAAATGACTTGGCTTTTCTTCTCCATATTCTTGTTTATATCAAGTGATCTGGTACATAGTGGATGCTCAACAAATGTTTATAGAATAAAAGAATGAGTGAATGAGGAAAGAGTCAATGGAACTAAATTTGAATCCAATTCTTAGGATTTGTAAATTCATGCATTTATTTGTTTTACTCAAAATAGTTATCCTTCTGGAGAGTATCAGACAGTGTGAAGGGTTTAGCCTCAGATAAATTGTTCTTATTCAATTCCAGCTCCATCATGTGCTATGATTGCAGACAAGTTATTTCATTTTTATAAATGCCCATTCCTTCATTTAAAAAAAAATGTATAAATGGTTCCTTATTTTATAATCTTGTTGTAAACGTTAAATGATGTAATATGTGTAAATGTATTAGATGAGTATCTGGCACATTGTGTGTACCTGGAAAATAGGAACTCACCAATAAACAACATTATTCCTGGGCAGTAATTTAATACATATTGCCACATGGGCAACTAAGTAATGTTAATTTTAACTAAGTAATGTTAAATATAACATTTTTTTATTTAGTATGAGCGAACTGTCAAATCCAATATAGATTCAAACTAAACTAAATTATGTATGCACAATACATATATTGTGACAATTAATATAAAAAGGAATTGTGATTTTTTCCTAGTGCTCTCTCTTCTGATTAATAAATATGTTTGTATAACTTTATCAAAAGTTTTGTTTGAGTACTCCTTGATAGATACACTTGTTTTCAAAACATATACATTGTTTCCTATATTTTCTTGTATTTATTTGTATCTGAGGTGTTTTTCCCTTTAAATGTATTCAGAAAACTCTGAACAAAGCAGTACTGAAGTGATTGTTCAGAAGCAGTTTAATTTCACTTGCACATGTGTGCACTCCTTCTTATTTGAACAATGTGGGATAGATGTGTAATTATACATTGTCAGAGATTTAGGTTTGTTTATTCTTACTAACCTTGAAGAATAATGGCATTTTTTTCCAGGGCAGACTAACTACATAATAACACCTGGACTGAAACATTTTTGATACTCTTAATGAATGAGCAAAGAGTTGACTGTTAGATGTTTGATATTTCCATCTACATCCACTACAAACAATAGATCTAGAAAGGGCAAGAGAAAGCAAAGTGTTTAAATGCTTAGGGGTAGCTTCAAAACCCTAACTCTATCCAAACTTCTCCCTACTTGCTGGTTGATTCCTAAAATTTTCCTTTACTGAAAAACCTAAGTCCTTGAACTGTATCATGATTCAAAATGTAATGAAGAGGAATATGTTTTTCAATGAAAGATGAGAGCAGATCTTTCATCAGGCAGAGCCTATAATGATCTTTCTTCAGTAAGAGCCTACAAGCCATAGCTATATATGGTGTAGCTCTGGTAGCATAGTGGCTAAAGCACTTGACTGCTAACCAGACGGCTGGCGGTTCAAACCCACCAGCCACTCCTCGGAAGGAAAGTTGGGCAATCCTACTTCCGTAGTGATACTGCCTCGGAAACCCAAGGAGGGGTCGCTATGAGTCGGGGCCAACTCGACGGCACAT